GGAGATGAGGCTTTGTGGGTGGAGCTCTATGGACAGGCGGGGCTTTCTGGTGGCCTGTGGGCGGGGCTCTGGAGAGGGGTACTTTGTGGGCGGGGCTCTGTGGAAATGTGATCTGATGGGTCCCATGGGCGGGGCTGTGGGTGGGGCTCTGTGGAGATGTGGGCCTGTGGGCGGGGCTCTGGAGGGGATCTGATAATATCCTGTGGGCGGGGCTCTATGGGCGGGGCTTCTATGAGAGGCGCCTGTGTAAGTGCTCCCTTTCGGGGCCAGCAACAATTCATGGAGGCCCAGATCCACAGGGAAACAGCAAAAGCCCCGAACCCAGTTCACCAGCCAGTGAACCACAGCAAGCCTGGAGGGCACAGTCTTAACAGTCCCATCAGGTACAGAGCAAGAGGTGTGTTTGAATTGGAGTTTTGGGCCCCAGGAATGTTCTTTAGTCACTGTATCACCAACACCCTGCTTATACTTTTCTACTGTGATGTGATATGATATTGAGGTCGCGGTACTAGGGATATTATAGCTAATGTAAGATGGATCTTGGCAGAAAGCAAAGAATACCAGAAGAATGTCTATCTGTGCTTCATTGACTATGCAAAGGCTTTTGACTGTGTGGATCACAGCAAGTTGTGGCTGACTCTGAGAAGAATGGGAATCCCAGAACATTTGATCATGCTAATGCGAAACCTATACTTGGACCAAGAGGCAGTCGTCAGAACAGAGCAGGAAGACACTGGATGGTTCAAAATCAAGAAAGGTGTCCATCAGGGATGCATTTTGTCTCCATACCTTTTCAATCTATATGCAGAACAGATCATCCGAGATGCTGGGCTGTACGAGGAGGAATGTGGCATCAGGATTGGTGAAAGAATCATCAACAACCTGCGTTATGCAGATGACAACCCTGCTTGCTGAAACTGAGGAGGACCTGAAGCGCTTGCTGCAGAAGGTCAAGGACTGCAGCCTCCTATATGGATTGAAGCTCAATATCAAGAAAACAAAGATTCTCACCACTGGGCCAATTGGCAGCATCAGTATGGATGGTGAAGAGATTGAGATAGTTAACAGTCTTAGTTTGCTTGGCTCCGCAGTCAACACTCTTGGTAACAGCAGCCAGGAACTCAGGAGATGAATTGCATTGGGAAAGTCAGCTGTGAGGGACCTCTCAAGAGTACTGAAGTGCAACGACGTCAGGCTGGAGACTAAGGTGCGCCTGATCCAGGCTATGGTCTTTGCAATTACATGCTATGCATTGGAGAGTTGGACAGTGAATAGGGATGGTAGAAAGAGAATTGATGCCGTTTGAGTTGTGGTGCTGGAGAAGAGTGTTAAATATACCATGGACTGCTAGGAGAACAAACAGGTTTGTCCTGGAGAGGGAGAAGCCAGAATGTTCCCTGGAGTCAAGGATTCTGAAGCTTCGTCTGACATACTTTGGGCATGTTGCAAGGAGGGACTGGTCCTTGGAGAGGGGCGGCGCAGGAGAGGAAGACCCTCGATGAGATGCATCGATTCTGTGAATGGAGTGGTGGGAATGAATGTGTTTGAGACAGCGAGGTTGGCACAGGATAGAACGGCGTTTAGGGTTCTTGTACATAGGGTCGCTATGAGTCACAAACGACTCGATGGCACATAACAACTGTGATGTGTGACTGGCAGTTGACAGCCCCACCCCCTGCATACTTCTGGTCTTACAGTGAAAGCCAAGACTTACAGATGAGGTGTGACTGCCATACCACAGCTGTCACTTGGCTAAAGCGTAAAGGACAGTAGGTGTGGGGGGGACCACAGTCCATCCTCAGCAGTGGGGGCAGGTTCCAGTTCCCTGTCCTTGTCCATACTGTGTTTTCTTGACTGATGTTGTTTCATATCTGCCCTGGTATGTAAAGTGGGGGGCCTCCTGGTACCTGAAGTCTGTTCCTAGAGGCTTCCTAGGCCTCTGGAGCACCCAGATGCTAGAAGGGTCCTCTCCCAGCCCATGCTCCAGCGTGGCTTGGCTATAGGCCTGAATCAAACCCCAGCTCCAGCCCTCCTGCAGCTGTGAGGCACTGAGCAAGTCCCAGGTCATCTGCTGGGCTAGAATGTCCACCAGGGGCCAGGAGAGGGCAGAGGAGAGCTTAACTCTCAGCTGCCGCCATCACCTGCCCCGCAGAGTCCCTGGGGAGTCAGGGCTCAGCTCATTGGACTCTGGTTGCTTAGCAATGGAAAAGTGATCCATTTCTATGAGAACCCAGGATTCCTGTCTTGGGGCCACAACAAGTGGGAAACCTTGGACCTGGTTCTGCAAGACTCTGGCATGCCCCACCTTTGGGCTTCCAGCCCAAAGTCCATTGCGAGGCCTTGAAGTGAGGCCTTGCCTTTCAGGAACTTGCAAATCGAAAGCACTTGTGTCTGTTCCTGGGCCCTGCCTTGTTCCCAAGCATCCTGCACAGCTGTGTTTGTAGAGAGCCTTGAGAGCTGGAGTTCTTGCCTATGCCTGCGCCTGAGCTCTCAAGATACAGCCAGTGTCACTGAGTGACTGCGGGTCAGAGACAGTGACGCTGGATTCTGAAAACACTTTAGCAAGTGTCCCTCATTCAGGCACAGAAGAACGTTTTCTTCTTTTTTTTTTTTTTCTCTCTTGTGAATTTGATTTTTTCCCTTTTTTAAAAAAATAATTTTAATGAAAGTTTACAGGGACTTTGCATTTCCATTCATTTATTGTTGCACTTTTCTCCCTGCCCACCTCTCCCCCCCACTTTGTTCTTCTCTTTGAAAAGTAAAATTCTTTCATTGTTACACAATCCCTCCCCCCAACTCCACTATTCAGTCTTCATTCTGGACTCCCATCATGACAATAATACCTAATCATATATCCTTTTTAAGACAGTTTTCTCCCTCATCTGTTTCAATGCAGTATATATTATTTATCCCATCTTTCTCAATCTCCCCCCCGCCCCAACCCTGATGTCAGTCCTGTTTTACAACAGTGGCACTATGCAATATTGGTCCTTCTGTGACTGAGATATTTCACTCAGCATAATGTCCTCCAGGATCACCCATTTTGAATAATTCCTTGTTTTTCAGTGCAGTGTAGTATTCCATTGTGTGAATATACCACAGCTTCTCTACCCATTCGTTTGTTGATGGGCGCTTAGGTTGTTTCCAGCTCCTTGCTATTGTGAACAAAGCTGCAATAAACATGGGTGTGCATATACCTGCTTGGGTGCCAGTTATAGTTTCTTTGCGGTATATTCCCAGTAGTGGAGTTGCTGAGTCAAATGGTATCTCTATTTGCAACTTTTTGAGAAAGTGCCATACAACCTTTGATAGTGGTTACACCATTTTACACTCCCATCAACAGTGAATAAAGGTTCCAGTTTCTCTGCAACCTCGCCAGCATTTGTGCTTGCTGTTCTGTTAAATTTTGCTATTCTTACTGGGGTGAATGATATCTCATAGTTGTTTTGATTTGCATCTCTCTTAGAGCTAGGCATTTTGAACATTTCTTCATGTGTGTTTGCCATCTGAATGTCTTCTTTGGTGAAGTGTCTTCATATTCTGTGCCCATTTTTCAACTGGGTTATTTACCTTTATCTTGTGGTAAGAACATTTTCATCACATGGCTGTGTCCTAAATGGGAAAGGAGGTTATAAGGATTGTTATAAATGTTATTTTGTGGGCTGTCTTCCTTCACTATAATCCTCTGCTCCTTAAAATTGAAAAACAACCTTTTGAGTTAATCTTGGATAAAGAAGCAATAAAATGATCTGTGGTGCAGTCCACACTATTATAACTCTTGAAAGAGAATGGTGTGTTCTGATCCGCTGGATGCGGCCAAAGCAGAGCGCAGAGGCAGCCTGTGCAGCCCTTGGGGCGTGCTTTGGCTTCTCAGCACTGCCCTAGCAGAAGGATCATAAATGAGTGGATTTAGCAAGCAGAAATACTGTCTCTGTTCACCGTTTAGGAGAGTAGAGGTCTTAAGTTAGTGTCCCACCCTGGGGGAAGGCTCTCACTCTCTGTGTTAGATGTACAGCAAAGTCCTTGCCTCTTTTTAAATTCTCGTCTAAGAAATCCTAGCGTGCTTGGTATTTTTCTTCCACTCAAACTCCTTGCACTGTTGGTACCAACAGTCAAGAGATCAGGAGATGTATTGCTTTGGGCTAATCTGCTGTCAGGGACCTCTCCAAAATACTCAAGAGTAATGAAGTCAGTTTGAAGACTAAGGAGCACCTGATTCAGACCGCATTCTTTTCAGTCCCTTGCTATGCATCTGAGATCGGGACAATGAGTAAGGATGACAGAAGGATTGCTGCCTTGAATTGTGATGTTGGAGAAGAGTGATGAATGCCCAACGGGTGCAGCCAGAATGCTCCATGAAGGCAAAGAAGATGTGAAGTTTCAGCTCATGTACTTTGGACATGTTGCTAGGAGGGGCTATCCCTTGGAAAGGGACATCATGTTTGGAAGTGGAGGGTCAGTGAAAGAGAGGAAGACCCTCAACCAGATGGACTGACATGGTGACTGCAGTAGAGGGCTTGAGCAGCCGGAGATGGTGAAGACGCACAACACGGGACAGTCTCTCTCCGGGCTGTTGTTCACAGAGTCACTTTGAGTCATATGCGACTCGTCAGCAGCTAACAACGATGAAACTCCTTTTACATGTTTATTCAAGAGAGGTCCACTCGAAATATACCCCACACGAATCTGGCCTTGTAACCTCACACTGGCAGCTGTTCCCAAGTAGGATCCCAAGCCCAGGCCTGGTGTTATGTGACCCTGAGAACTTGGGGACCTCGGCCCTGTGCCACCATCCCCGTTGTACCAGCACTGTGTCAGTCCATCCATCTTGGCAGGGATTTTCCCATTTCTCTGACCCCCCTGCTTTTCCAAGGACTGGCCCTCCTGATGGCCTGCCCGGTGTTTGTAAGACCAAGTTCTCCATCCTCGCCTGCAAGGAGCACCCTGGCTGCATTTCCCATGAGACAGGTGTGCTTATTGTTTTGACCTGAGAAGGAATATTCTGTACTCTTCTCTACCACCACAACTCAAAGGCGTCGATTCTCCTTGGCTTCAGTGTCCACCTCCCCCATATGTACAAAGCAACAGAAAATGCTGTGACTTGGGTCAGCGGCACCTTAGTATTTAAGCCGACATCCTTGCACTTTGGAAATGTCTGTGATGGCCGATCGTCCCGATGAGGATAGAGTTTACTCTACATTTTTGGAAGGCGCAATCCAACCCATCACATTGAGTTTAATAGTAAAGAAGCCTGAGTGAACGATTCCCATAAACCCAAGAATTGAACAGACACACCCCTGGGATGTCACCGGCCTCAGGCTCCTGCTTCTCACATAAGAAGGGTCTCAGTTCAGACACAGACAGGCCTCCTGCCCTGACAAGACATGTGGCCTTGGGCCATGACCTCTGTCTCTGAGTCTCAGAATTCACCATCTTCAGTGGCAATTAGAGCTGAGCTGAGCTACGAGTGATTGAGGCTGGCTGACCGGGGAACCCGGGCCACCGAGACCCCAGCTCCTTTCGTCCCGCTTTCCCAGCCCCTGAGAATGCTGTCAGGAGCCTGAGCCCCCCAGGTCCTGGGGTGACTGGGACGGTCATTTCACTCTCCCTGAGGCTCTGCTTAACCTCCCACTCTCTCTCCCTCCAGTGGTTCACGCCGTGGATGGCTCTGTGGAGGACGGCATCCACCCGCTGACCTCCTCCGAGGTGGACGATCTCATCCACAAGGCTGATGAGGTCACGCTGAGTGAGGCCGGGTCCACAGCTGGACCAGCAGAGCCCCGGGGGCCCACAGAGGAGGCCGCCCGGACCACACCAATCCGAAGGGAGATCACTGGAGTGCAGGCCCAGCCTGGCGAGGCCACGTCAGGTCCCCCGGGGGTGCAGCCAGGCCAGGAGCCCCCGGTCACCATGATCTTCATGGGGTACCAGAACGTGGAGGATGAGGCCGAGACCAAGAAGGTGCTGGGCCTCCAGGACACGGTCACCGCTGAGCTGGTGGTCATCGGGGACATGGCAGGCCCCAAGGAGCCAGCACCACCCAATGGTAGCACGGCTGAGCCCCCGGCCACCACCGGGGTCAAGGAGGAGAGCCAGATGGGGCCCGAGGCTCCCGCCAGCGACCCCCAGGACCTCGACCTGAAGAAGCAGCGCTGTAAATGCTGCTCAGTCATGTGAGCTGGCCTGGCCCCCAGACCCTGGCCCCCCTCTGAGTCACCTCCCGGCGCCAGCCCACCCTGCACCTGCTGCCAGGGGCCCAGGACGCGCGGTGTGGTCACTTCCTTCTGAGTTTCCTAATTCTGGGAAGAGAGGGACAGGGTCCCCCACTCTGCCACCACCCCCCACACCCATCCTGAACCACCAAGCCGGCACTGAGCCTTGGGGGGAGGGAGGCATCCACAGACCCACTTTCCCCAAAACAAGGGCCCTGCCCCTCACCTGGCAGCCCCACAGAGCGGCTGGTGCGCTGCCTGCTGGCTGGCTGTGGCGTGGCCATGCCGTGGCCTCGGCAGCCCCTCATCCTCTGGGCTTCCTTCTCGTACCTGCCTTCCACGAGGTGACCTAGAGCAAGGCCGGCCAGGGAGGAGCTCCCCGAGAAGACCCTTAAAATGGGCCTTGGGTGCTGGGACTCCTGCCAGAGTCTGTGGGGGCAGCGGGGCCCATGGTCCTGGGATGGGGTACCCTGGACAACCAGCCCAATGTGAGGGCCCCCCCCCCTCGTCTCTGCGCCTGGTCAGTGGGTCACGGAGCCTGGGGAGGTGGAGGAAGGCCCTAGGAACACACTGTGGGTCTGTAGCCTTGGCTGTCTTTACGGGGTGTGCCAGGCGCCTTTGTGAGGCCCCTGCCTGAGGTATGGACCCTGTGAGTCACTTCGGTCCAAACTCCCCACCCCCACCAGGCCCTCATTCCTCCTGGTGCTAATTTGGGGATCCTGGGGACCACTCTCTGGCCTCTTCTCCAGTTTGCATAGGCCAGGGTCCTGGGTCCCCCACTCACCACACCCCAGACCAGGCCCTCCTCACCAGTCCTGCAGGGTTTGGAGCGTTTGCAGGTACCAGAGTGGGGTACACAGCCCTGGCAGGGAAGATCCCAGGGCAGGAGACCCCTATCTGCTGCCCAGTCTGGTGTGAGCCCACTTCCTGCCCTTTCTCCCTGGAAGGGGTGAGGGGCTCCCCTGAGGGCAGCCACTCTCGTTCCCAGAGGCACATTCATGCACATTCTCACAGACACCCTCCTGTCACATGCTGGCTTTGAACCACCAGGCACTATCTTGTCCCCTTACCTGGGGGTTTCCAGCCTGGTGCCCAGGACCCAGGCCATGTCTTGTCCCCTTCCCTGGGGACTTCCTGCCTGATGCCCAGGGTCCAGACCACATCTTGGTCCTGTTGCCACCCCCAGTTTTAGCAGGGCAAGGGCCGCTGCTGACCGGAGCCTGCCTGCAGCCTTGGCTCAGGCACTCCTGGAAGCTGGGAGAAGAGGCCCTCCCTTGGGGGTGCCCTGGGCAGCACCTGTGGACCCCTCCTCTTCCTCCCTCTGCCCTGAGCCCCTCAACCTGTGACCTCTGCTGAAGTGACCTTGTGGCCCCCTCTCTGCTTTTGATGTGCAACAAGGCCCCCGATGTTCTTGACCTTCCCAGAGAAGCAAATAAATAGTGTGAACAGCGCGAGTCCCTGGAGTTCTTGGGCCTCCTCTGGGTGTGGAGGGCGTGTCCAGGCAGAGGGTGGGGCCTGGGTGCAGTGGAGGAGACATAAGAGGCAGGCAGCCCCTGGGCTAGGGCCATCCTCTGCTGGTGTAGACGTTGGTGGGTTCCCCATCTGGCTCCTGACTCCATTGCCCACCTATACCTGTGTCCACCTGAGCAGCAACTGGCAAGGTAAGCCGAGTGGGAGGTTAATAGCTGCTGGAGGGTAGAAGGTATAAACTGCGTCCGGTTCCCATGGAGGATGCCTGAGCCCTGCGCCTGTCCCGACACTGCCCTTGGTCAGTGAGGCCCCCTTTGCTGAGGAGGGGCTTCCCCAGAACCTCCCACCCTGGGCCATGAGCGAAGATTGACCCAGACTCTGTCAGTGCGACCCTGGTCAGGTCAAACCCCTCTGAGCTTCAGTTTCCCCTCTCGTATGGAGTTTGTGAGCTCTGAGTGGGACGCTGGTCTAGGGAGGTGTCCCCACGACTGGAGCTGCTGCTGACCACCTGTCTTCGGTCAATTTGGGCCTCAGTTTCCCACTCTGACTAATGGGGAGGTGACGACTGTAGGGCAAAGAGGGGCGGGCACCTCTGGCTCAGATCTACTGACCACCCTATGCTTTGGTCAGTATTATAAAGATTTCCATGCCTCAGTTTCCATATCTGTATATCGGGGATGAAGTACTTGAAAGGCTGTAGGGTAGAGCAGTGAGGATGTGCACTCCAGGTTTGATGATGTTACTCTGAGCTGAGCCCACAGCCCAGATTCTCCTCAAACTCTCATGCAGCTCCCTGCCCTCTCTAACCTGAGCAGCTTCCGGTCTAGGGACTTGTTAGAAGAAAGAAGAAACTGAGGTTCAGAGGGGCCCCACAGGTAGGTCAGGTGGAGCCCCAGCTTGTGGGCAGGTGAGATGGAAGGCAGAGCCCCCTCGCCCCAGGAGATCAACTGCCCATCTCAGTGTCCTTGCCTGGGAGGCCGGTGGCCCTGGGCCTGGCCTGTTCAACCAGCATTTTTCTGATATTTTGATTGTTGGGCTATTTTTGAGGACACATCTTGGTGACTTCTTCCAGTGGCCTTGGGGGAAGCAGCTGAGCTTTTTTTGGAAACCAGGGCTCCTAGAAGTTCAGGGAGGTCTGGACCGAGACCTGGTGGCCTCCACAGAGCTCCAGGAAAGGACTGTCTGGGGGAAGGGGCCAGATGAAAAAGCAGGCTCTGGGCTCAGCTGGTGTAAGGGTACTGAGCCTGCCTCTGGGTCTGGAGGTCCATGCCTGGGTATGGGGGTCCTCTGGTGGTAGGAGACCAGGGCGGCTGGTCTATGCGGTGTGGAGGCCCCTGCCAAGGGCAGTCTCTGTGGCACCGTGCCTGCCACACCCACCTCACCCTGTGGTATTGGCTTTCTCTCTCTCCCTGGACTTTGTCTCCCGGCCGGTGGGGCCGCAGAGGGGTGCACCTGCCACCCTGGGCGGGGCCTCTGTGCCCTGGCAACCTGGTGGGTGGGGTGGGCAGGCAGGAGGCCTCCGTGGATCCTGGAAGTGGGACACACCCTGAGCTTCGGGGTCTGGGCAGCAGGTAGGCTGGCCCTGGGATGACAGGAGAGTATGAAATGGGTAGGGGTGCAGTGTGGGGTGAGCCGAGTTAGAGGAGGAGGTGCTGGGGAGGCTCAGTGAAGGGAAGGAGTACTGTGAGAAGGGATGATGTGAGGGTCTTGTGTGGAGGGAGTCCAGTGAAGGGAGGAGGTTCTGTGTGCGGTGGGAACCTGCGAGAACAGTCTTGTGAGGAGAGGGGGTTGTGGTGGGGGGTGGTTCTGGGTGAGGAGGGGTCCAGTCATGGCAGGTGACTCTGTGGAGTATGGAATGGAGACGCGGTCTTGAGGCAGGTGAGGTCCTCTAGGTGCAAAGATTTTGTCAGATGGGGGATGTGAGTAGAGGAAGCACTAGGAGGGGTGAGTGTCCTGTGAGGGTGAAGGTCAGGGTCCTGTGTGGGCTGAGGTCCTGTGGGCAGTCATGTCCTGTGAGGGATGGTGTCCTGTGAGGGTTCTTCATGGGCTGAGGGTCCTGTGAGGTGAGTGTCCTGTGTGTGGTGAGGGACCTGTGTGTGGTGAGGGACCTGTGTGTGGTGAGGGTCCTGTGAGGTGAGGGACCTGCGTGTGGGGAGGGTCCTGTGGTGTTGGTTGGCACCGTCTTTCCTGTGGGACCCTCAGGAGCTGGTGTTTGTGGTCTGGCACGCCTCTTGTCCTGGCCCAGCTGAGGGCTGGCGTGGAGGAGGTGCTGCTCTGGACACTGGAGCTGCAGACTTCGGGCTCTCTGTGCTCCTGGCCTCACCTGCGGGAGCGGGGTTCCTGGGCCCTGTGAGGCCTGCTGGGGATTCAGACCTGAACCTGGAGGTCTGTCTCCATGAGGGGTGCTGAGTCTCACTGGTCCTGCGTCCCCAGCTGGGGAGATGACCTGCAGGCTGGCTGGACGTTGGGCAGTAACTGCCCCACATCTGGAGCCTGAGGTCTGATCCAACTGAAGGGTGGCCAGAGCCTTAACCTGAGTCCTGGGGTCAGGGGTTCCCCACGTCAAGCGTAACCCTTTAATGCTGGGGGGCCGCAGGTCCGGCACAGACGCCTGGTCTCCAGACTTCTTCCTCGGGTGACTGGAGCGGACAGGAGATGCTTAGCAAGCGCCCCACAACTGTGGGGGGAGGGCAGGGTGGTGCCTAGGCACTCTGGCAGAAGAATGCCCCCGTTCCTCCCCCGTGAGAGGCTGGGGGGCTCCTATCAATTAGCATCAGGCACTTTAATCTCCACCCCACCCCGCCATGTCCCAGTTACTTCCACTTCCCTGAATATCTGCCGCAGTGGACAAATGTGTCGCTCTATGTCAGTGCCAGCTGAGTGGTCAGTGGTTCAAATCCACCAGTGGGTCTGAGGGAGGAAGGTGGACAGTCTGCTCAGTGAAGGGCCCCAGCTTCGGGAACAGGGTTGCCTTGGGCTGGAACTAACTGGGGCCCATGGTCCAGTGCGCGAAGGCTCAGTCCATGGAGAGTGTGGGGCAGTTGGCTGAGGTGCTGCATAGGAAGCAGGCAATCTTCTCCTAGAAACTGAGAGAGCCTCTGGACAGTCCCCAGGGCTCAGGAGAACCCAGGCCAGGCAGGCTTGGTTCTGGCTGCACTTTGCACGAAAGCGGACCCATGGCTGCTCCCACCCGTCACAGTGTTCCACAAAGCGGCTCACCTCCAAAATGCCCCAGCCCGCCCCCAAGCCCCCAATTGCCTGTTTTCCAGGTTGCCGCATTATGAGCCACCTGGCCCTGGAAGGACACGTACGTTTGCTTCTGAGGGGAAGCTCTAGGGCCTGACCACTGCAAGCTGAGCTGATAGCCCAGGAGCTGAGCTTCTCTGGGGTTTGAACCACCAGCGGCTCCAAGGGAGAGATAGATGGGCAGCACCTTCCTCTGTGATTTACAGCCTCTGAGCCCCTGGAGGGTCAGCTGTGGGTGGGTTCTGAATCGATGGCAATGGGTTTTTTCTAAGAGTGGACGCTGTCCAGGTGGCAGGTGTGAATAGCGGCTCTGATGAGGCCAGGGACAGGATACTCACCCTGTCGATGATGCTTCGTAGCTGTGAAAAGGAGAGACTCTACCCCTCAGACCTGGTCAGTGGGTGGCAGGAAATGACACTCCCAGAGAAAGCACAATCTAGGGGCCTTCCCAGGATAGGTGTCCTATGTGTGCTGTAAAGGAGGCCGGGGGTGGGGGTGGGGACGGTAGGATGAGGGTCCGAGAAGGTCAGGACTTGGGTGGGGCACTTGCAGCTTGGGGCTTGGACGGAGGCCAGCAGAGGCCTTGAGGAACCAGGCATGAGAACTTTACCCTGGAGGTGCCAGGAACTGTAGAGGGGTGAGAGCAGGTGCATAACCTTCCAGAAAGTTCCTGGAGAGGGCTCACAAGGAAGCTGGACTCCTAGAAGAAGGGCGGGCTCCCCAGGGCACTGGTTCAAGGGGAGATGGCCCCTCCCTGGCCGAGGACAAGGTCCAAGGTGTCTTCCTTCCAGCTTCTGAGATGGGCAGGTGTGGGGAGTGAACAGGTGTGGGAGCCGAGGGCTGGAGTCTCGTGGTGTGAGCTGCTGGGTGACCCTGTGCACAGGTGAGCAAAAGAGAAGTTCCTGGCTTTGACAAGCACTGTGGCATTTGGACAAGAACAAACTGGGAGGAGGGTAGAGAGAATAGTGCAACAATGAATGAGTGGAAGCCCAAAATCTCTGTAAATGTTTATGAAAATTAATAAAATATAATTATAGAAAAAAAAAAAGAGAAGTTCCCCTGTAGATGCGGTGGGGGGTGTCCATGTCCAGGAGAGGGGGCAGGGCATGGAGAGGACTTTTGGGGGGCATCTGACTGATCCAATGCAGGGGACTGCGTGGGGGGCACTTGATAGCAGGGGACAGAACCTGGGATACTGGACTGTGTCAGGCAGAGGGCGAGGTCCCGGTCAGTAGCGGAAGCACAGGGATTCAGGCAGGATCCAGGGGCTCAGATACTGCTGTAGAAGCACTCTGGTGGCGCAGTGCATTGTGGCTGACTGCTCGTCAAAAGGTCTTCAGTTCAAATTCACTTGATGTTCCGTGGGCAGATCCCAGGCCCCAGAACCTGAGGGAGGGTGGCTGGGAGTCGGGCGTGACGGGGCAGCCATGGGCTTTTTGGTGTCTGTGCCCTGTGGTCTATTGTGTCACGTGGGGGCACACACTACAAGGTTAGTGGTTCAAACCTGCAGCCTGGTTTGACACATGGTCTCTGAGGTCTGGCGGAGGGTCGCCATGGACAGGACAGACTGGAGGGTGGGTTTGTTTTGTTCTTGGTGTCAGTTTAAGGAGCTCTGGTAGTGCAGAGGTCAAGTATGTGGTCACTGACCAAAGCTTTTTGTTGTTGTTATGTGCCGTCGAGTCACCTGCGACTCATAGCGACCCTATGTACAACAGCCCTAAACCCTGGTCTGTCCTGTGCCAATCACCATCTCCGACACACCTACCCCTACTCCCCTAGTCACTGAATTGATCCATGTCATTGAGGGTTTTCCTCTCCTGCGCTGTCTCTCTACTCTCCCAAGCATGACGTCCCTCTCCAAGGACTGGGGACTCCACGCCTTGCAGCATGTACAAAGTATGTCAGATGAAACTTCAGAATCCTTGCCTCCAAGGAGCAACCTGGTTTAACCCTTTTCAGGATGAACCTGTTCATTCTCTTAACAATCCATGGTATATTCAATGCTCTTCTCCAACACCACAGCTCAAAGGCATCAATTCTTCTCTCCTCCCTAGTCAGTGTCCAGCTCTCTGATGCATAGCAGGAGATTGCAAAGACCATGGCCTGGATCAGGCGCATCTTAGTCTCCAGACTGACATTATTGCTTTTAAGTTCTTTGGGGAAGTCTCTGACAGCCGGCTTTCCCACCTCAGTATGTTTTTTAATTTCCTGGCTGCTGGTTCCAAGAGTGTTGACTGTGGAGCCAAGCAGACTAAAGCTGTTAAGAATCTAGGGAGTGTGAACTCACCTATCACTCCAAAAAAGAAAGATGGGGCTTCTATAAATGTCCTCTCTGCCAAACCAGAGAAGATTCATAGCTGACCCTCCAGCAGGTAACCAAGGCCCGTCTTTGTCCTGACCCAGAGCACCTGCCCTGACACTCCTTGGTGCAGCGCACAGCTTGCAGACCCTATGAGGTGGCTCGGCCGTGAGGTGGCCTGGCTGTGAGGTGTCCCTGAAGTGAGGTGGCCCAGCTGTGAGGTCATCTGGCTGTGAGGTGGTCTTGAAGTGAGGTGGCCCTGAAGTGAGGAGTCCTGGCTGTGAGGTGGCCCTGAAGTGAGGTGGCCTGGCCATGAGATGACCCTGCCATACATAAGGTGGCCCCTCGTTGAGGTGGCACTCTCTCCCGTGCAGGCTACCAGGGGTTGTATCTGGATTTCGAGTGGCCAGGTGATTACTGGGTTTGTTCTAGCTCAAGCTGGACGACGGGGACATGACCTCCTGGTGCTCACCCTCCCCACTTACAAACCATCCACAGAACAGGCCAGAGAACAGAATCCTGCAGACCAGCCTCAGAGGTTGAACCAATTACAGTTGGTGGGGGTCAGAGGATGGGGTCATGTGAGTGGCTGTACTGAGCCACTGAGCTCTCTGTGAACCAGTCAGGAGGTGGTGTCCATGGGGCAGAATTGTCTCTTGCGTTCTAGGGGTCTGAAGCACCCTGAACCTGGGAGAGGAACTGTGCCTACCTCTCTGCAAGCTCTGGGGTGCCTGGGCCCTGGAGTCTGTATCTGCCCCATCCTTCTCCGCAAGGGACAGCCGCTCGGCATGAAGAAGTGGGTTAATGGACAGCATCTGAAGGGAAACGCCCATGTCCCTGAACCAGGTCTCGTCCACAGAACCGCTGAGGGTATCAACTGTCTTCTGGGAGTGCTGTCCACCACATAACATAGCTCTGTTCTCCTTCCCTTAGTGCACCCAGGGTCCACCGAAGGAAGGTCTCTCTAGGGGCCTGAGGACATGGACCGAGTGACTCGATATCCCATCTTTGGCATCCCTCACTCGCCTCGCGTCACCAGCCAGGTGTTCGATGAGGACATTAGCTACTCCTTCCAGCTGGTGGGTGTGGGGCCCGAGGTGACGGGTGGGGGCCAGGATGAGACATTCATCTGGCCCAGTGACCATGGGACTCAACTGGACACAGAGAAGGCTGGAAGGCCCCACAACCTCCATGCCACCCCTGACCTGCTGTCCTCACGGCCACTCCACACCAGTGACAAGGACAAGGGGCTGAATGCTGACCACCTGGACAGTGTCAGGGGCGCGTCCCCCAGGTGGTTGAGTGACCTGGAGCGAGAGCGGCAGGCTGTGATCCAGAACCAGGTGGTCAGGAGGCGTGGCACAGTGGCCACGCAGCGCAGCTCCACTGACCAGGTGGATGGGGCCCTGGCTCGCACTCTGCCGGAGCCCGTGGTGGACACCGAGCAAATCGACTTCCTGGCAGCTCGAAGGCAGTTCCTGAACCTGGAGCAGGCCAACACGGGGACTCCTCAGAAGCCTTGGCGCTTGGAGGACCCTGGGGGTGCCGCCTTAGGGATCAGCAAGGCCCCCAAGGTCTCAGATGGGCTCCACCTGGCCAACGGCTATGGGGTCCCTACGCGGCCCCACGTGAAGGAGGTGGCAGAAGACAGGAGGGTCCGCAGTTCATCAGCTGTGCTCAGTGTCCCTGCTGCCCGCCCACCTGGTGACCAGCCCACAGCGGTGTCTCCACCTCGTGCCCAGGAGACCCCTATTGAGCGCGAGATCCGGCTGGCCCAGGAGCGCGAGGCTGACCTGCGGGAACAACGAGGCCTGCAGCCCAAGGCCGGCCACCAGGAGCTGGTAGAGATTCCCACCAGGTCGCTGCTGGCCACCGTGGGTCTGGCCCCTGCTCCGCGGCGAGAGAGGGGCCGCCCATCGCTCTATGTGCAACGGGACATGGTGCAGGAGACGCTGCGTGAGGAGGACCACCGGCGGCAGGGGTTGCAGGGGGTTAGGCCGGCCACACCCGACTGGTCCTCCAGCGACCCCCAGCCCAGCCTCAGGCGGGCCTTCAGCTCCGACTCCATCCTGGACCTGGTCCCGAACACCAGCACCGTGGAAACTGCCCCAGAGGTGAGACGGGTCAGCCGAATTCCGTTCAGCGCCTATGAGCCATACCTGAGCTCAGAGCCCCCTAGGCGGGACCGCCCAGCCAGGCCCAGTCCTCTGTCCACACCCGAGGAGAAGGCACAGGCCTCTCCGAAGGCCAGGGGGTCTCAGCTGCTCACCTCTAAGTCCTCCGCAAGCCCCTCGAGCGCAAAGCAGGAGCGCTCGAAGGCCCTGCGGGGACCCCCTCCCTCCGGCGGGGCCATTGTGCGCCCTCAGTACTTCCGCCTGCGGCCCCTGCGCTTCGGGGTGCCCGATGTGAAGCAGCCTGAGGTCCCCCGGGCCCGGGGCTGGGAGGCAGCCGAGGCGCCCGCAATGCGGCTGCACAGGTCCGCGTCATCGGAGCTCCTGGAGCGGGAGGTGGAGAGCGCGCTGCGGCGGGAGCGCGAGGTGGCAGAGGAGCGCAGGGCGGCCCTCTTTCCGGAGGTGTTCTGCCCCACGCCCGCAGACGAGGACCCTGGCGAGGATCAGGCGGAGGACCAGGACGCCTGGGACCAGCACTCCAGGGCCTCCTCCCGCGCGTCCGGTGAGGAAGGCTGGGACAGGCCGGGAGAGGCTCTCCAAAGCTGGGGGACTGAAGAGGGGCCTGGGCTGTCCAGTGGGGTCCCCCACTCCCTTTGCCCTGTTGCCTGACCTGTCCACTTGGGCGGTGGGCAGTGAGGGAGGTGTCTGCTTTGCCCTTTGGTTAAATGGCTTATCACTATGTGTCTGGCAGTGTCTACTTCTTTACCTCAGTGTCCTTTTGGCCTTTACACCTTGAAAGCTTGTTCCACATCTGTCTGCTGAGCGGCTGGTTTGGTCACTCTGTCCTGAGTCTCCTCTGTCTGTGGCCACTTGTCCAGGCCACTCCAACTCTGTGGCCAGGGACTCTCTGTTCTGGACTTGGGTTTGGCCAGTGATCTGCCCAACGCTCTGAGCCCTGCATGATGCCCCTTCCTACCTCCAACCTGCAGGTGTCACGGGCAGCTACTCCGTGTCTGAACCGTTCACCTTCTCCCCTGTCCACCTGCACTCGGGCCTCGTGTGGACAGTGGATGCTGAGGCTGAGCCCCTGGAAGCCCTCCCAAAGGACGCTTCATGGCAGAGGAAAGGTCACCACCAGTGGGTGAGACTGGACACCCCTGTCCCCAAGGCCTGATTGTTGTAAATCAGGAACACAGACAGACAGGGACACCAGGACGGAGAGGAAGAGCAGAGAGAGGAAAGCAGGGGGTGAACAGCTCTAAGACTGAAGCCCCAACCCAGCTTCCCTGTGACTTTACTGAGAATTGTCAGGGAGCGAATCACAGCAAATTCTATGCAAAGGAAGCTAAGCTCTTTCTATTGAAAACCTTATGCTTAACTCAGGAGGGAGGGGTCAGCAAATACCATCCAAGAACTGTGAAGACATCTGAATGTCTGTGTTGGTGCTTGACCCCTGTGACCTGTCTCGGGGAATTCCAGCTTGTATCTGAACCTCCCTCATATCCTGATACAGCATTAGGTTTATAATTAATATTTCATGTGATATTTGGCTTCCCACAACTGGCCATATCCTGACACCTGTGACGGCCACACACATGCATTCAGAGGTCACTGCCTGCTGGAAATAGGGTCACAGAGAGACTATCCATCCTCTCACTGCCTGCTGGTGATGGGGTCATGGTCTACTCCATGTCAGACAGGGCCAGCACACTGGGCTGTGCCCTAGAGGCCAAGCTGCTGGAGGTGGGGCTGTCTGTCCCCATCAAAGTCTCAGGCCTGCCGGGGCAAGAAGGAGCTGAGGTCCAGGCCAAGTGCCCCTGTGGTCCTGCTCTGGGACTTGAACAAAGCCTGTCCACATGCCAAGCCACCCTGTCTCGGATGGCAACACAGGTTCAAGTCCCAGCTCTGTGGCTTAGCAGCTGTGTGCCCCTGGCAGACCATGGCTCCTCTCAGACCCTTAGTCTCTTCCTCTGTAATCTGCACAAGATGCCAGAGCAGCCCCCTCGACCACCCTGCGAGGGTGGAAGGAGTGCTGGGTGCCCAGCTCCAGCAGGTCAGCACCCCTGAGCCCCTCACGTTCTTATTCAGTGAGAACAAGCAGAGGACAGCTGGGTGATGGCTTTGAATGGGTGCTCAGGGGCCTTCAGGGCTGTGGTGGGTTGGGGGCACCTTCCCTTCCCCCAAGTGGGGCCAGAGTAGCTGTGTCCAGTTCCTGGCTCAGTGGAGGCAGAGCCATTGTCTCCGTGTGTTTCCTCCCCACAGTACGCTGGCATCGACCCCTCGGACCACGTCAACTCAGAGGTGAGGGTCCCTGCCCCAGCCTCCCTGCACCAGGGCTCCCTGCTTAGCCTACCTGCGTGCCCTGAGGGCCACCATGCCTCTCTCCTGAGCAGGGGAGGGAGTGGTTTTCACCCTCCTCTCCCAGCTCCCCTCCCTCCCTTTCCCTCCTCCCCCTCCCCCCCTCTTCTTCCAGCTCCCCTCTCCTCCTCTCCTGGCTCTCCTTCCCCCCGTTTACCCCCTCCCTCTCCCCTTCTTCCACCTCCCCTCCTCTCCCCTGCTCCCTTCCCTGTCCCTGTCCATCTGCCTCCCTCCCCTCCTTCTCTGCCTCTTTCTTCTCCCCAGTTCTTCTACTTCTCCACTTCCTTCTTTTCCCTCGGCCTCCCATTCTTTTCCTCTCCTCGGTCTCATGCCCTTCCTCCTCCCTTCCTCTCCCTTCTTGTCCTCATCCCCGTCCTCCGCTTCCATTTCCCTCTCCCTTTCTTCCCCCACCCTTCCTCCTCCCTCCTCCCCCTCCC